TGATCCTTCTATCGATTATTCTGATACAACTGCACATTCTATTGATTCGACAATGCATTAACAAAGTCATCTGGGATTTCCTTATACTTAAAGATAAAGCAATCATGTTTTATATCTGAAGTTCCCAACTCTCATAGGAGGGACTATTACGACTCTCTTTGTTCAGAAAAAAAAACGTTTGTTCTTCGCGTTATTCTTTGTCGAATGTTCTTTGACTGACTCAAGATAGATGGACAGAATTCATTAAGTAAAGCTTCAACAGAATCCATCCATACAATCATGATGACTGCGGCTCGATTTCCAATAATGATATTTATTGTTCGATTCATTCTCAACTCTGGTCAGCCGTATTCATTCTGCTGTGGCGTTACATTCACTTGCGCAGATGCGGCAACGTTGCCCGCTTCTTTCAGGCAACGTTGCCGAATGTTTCTGTTTCTCGAACGTTTCTGTTTTTGCAAGTAATATTTTGGGGAACTTTCTATACGTCAGATTTTGATAATTTCCTATGTTTGCCATCTACTTAGACAGAAGGAACAATATTCATTACAAGTTCGATCAAATTGAGTGCTAACGTTATTCGGGGAAATAATATCAAGATTCCTACGTATATCAATTCTTTTGAATGAATTGTTTTTTACGGCTTATCAACCTTTTACAATTTATTCAAAACCAGAAATATGATTTTTTTAGATAAAGATGATTTAGTGATAGAAGTCTTACTAATTAACCCATAGAGGGGGGAAATTATTTTAGATTGTAAGAATTTCTATCTTTGTTGGATGCGAGTAGAGATAACAAGGGTTTAGTCATGGAAGATTTACTAATTAACCCGTAGGTTAAAAAGAAGAATTAGATTCATACCTTTCCCGAGGGTATTTGCGTGAAAGTGAATATAACGAATCCAAATGGAATCGGAACACGGCTCTCCGATTCGATTGACAATTCCGAGCCGTTATCCATTTAGCTTTACAGCACCTCGTATTACCAAGCGGTCACCCATCTGGGTACTGACCAGGTTCGAAGTTGTTTAACTGCGTTGTTCCTACGGGAACCAATGTTTCAACGTGATATATATATAAATAAGTCTAAACAATTTTTATAATCACTAATATTATATATATATATATATATATATATCCATATTTATAGAATATTTAAATAAAAAATTGAAAAAAACAGAGGATGTCTAGATCCAACGGATGTCAGTATCATTGTAAAATTATTACCCCTTACCAAATAAGGTTTAAGGGATACAATATACTGACATAAGGAAAATCTAGATATATATTTGTTCAATTTAAGTAGAATATTCTGTAACCATGGAAACGTGATTTTAGCTGTGTCTTTAAAACCCGGTAATTTTTAAAAGTTACTCCAAAAAATTCGCTTGAAGATGAAATGGAACTAATGCTTTTAATTTAATTGCAAAATTAAATTCGGGGTTTTAGCTTCTATTTTTGAAACATGGTTGGAACTGTGTAGCGAAAAAAAAACCATATTTTAAATCAATTAATTTATAATATTAATGCTCTGTAAATTTACATTGAGCACTATTTTGTAAAATAAAAAAATATCTATAAGAACACCGGATTTTATATCTTACTGTTCTTTCTTTTTTTATATATATATATATATATATATATATATATATATATATATATATAATATAATTTTAGGAATATATATAATTTATTTATTTATATATAACATATATATATATAAAACCAATGGTATAGAATGGTTTTAATTATTTCAAAAATACAAAGATTTCCGGTTTTTATTATTTTTGAAAAATTTTTTCAATTTATAAATTTTAGATTTTGGTTTTCAACATCGGAAATAGAATGAGCTAGGCGATATTTGTGTTTACTAGTTATATATTTTCCCTACCGTATGATATAACTAAATGGTTGAAGTCTGAAATTAATACAGTTAAAAAGGTTCGATTCTCAACAGCCAGTACACGATGCGCAAATGGTGAGTTTCAAAAGTACCAAACAACCGTATATTTATATATATATATATATATATATATATATATATATATATTAAGAAAATGGATAAAAGTCCGACAATTTATTTATTAAAGAGATTTACTAAAAAAAAATGACGTATATAAAAAAAAAAAAAAAAAAAGAACGTTAAAGATTGCTGAAAATTTAAAAAAATATATATATATATATTTATATATATATATATATATATATATATATATATATATATAAATATATATATAAATTTAAATGATAAATTTAAATAAAAATATATAAATATATAAATATGTTGAATATATTTTAGAATAAAATTCAAGAGGAAGAAGTTTTTTAAACTCAATGTCCAGGACAGAGTAAGGATATATATAAAAAGGTCATAATTAATAAATTACGATTCCAATGGAATAAATTATGATTTAATGGAATTTTTTTGTTTTTTTTTTTTAATATATATATATATATATATATATATATATATATATATATATATATATATATTTATAATTTGACTCTTGTCGAAAATTTTTAATGAGGGTAAGCAGAACAGTTTTAACGAAACAATGAAATTGAAAACAACAGCAAAATTAAATTAATTATAATGGTGATTTAAAACAGGACCAATCCGAAATTTTCAAAAATTTTTTGAATACAGAATTTCCTATTTTTGAAATAAATCATAAGGTCCCCTAAAACGAACATCCCCAGGTTTTGAATTCACAATTGTTTTTTTAATAGACTAGTTGCCATCATCATTTATAGAACCCAGTCTGTCCTTTTAAAAATTTACTGGAGGAGAAGAAGAGGATTTTTTTTTTTCCCAAGGGTAAAATTCATCTAAATTTATAATGTAATGGATAATTTTGATTTGATTTTATTTCTCGAAAAAAAATGAATCCAAGCCGCTATCCATTACAAATATCTCTCTCTCTCTCTCTCTCTCTTTTTTATATATTTATATATATATATATATATATATATATATATATATATATATATATATATATATATAGATAGATAGATAGATAGATAGATAGAAGACAGATTGATATATGTTAGTTCTCAACTTTTTTGCCATTCCCACACATTTCAAACTGTCCTGTTTGAATATTATATATATATATATATATATATATATATATATATATATATATATATATATATATATATATATGATATAGATAGATATATGTTAATTCTTCTTTCTCAACATTTTTAAATTCATTTCAAACTTCCATTGAATTATATATATATATATATATATATATATATATATATATAATATATATATATTATGGAAAAAATTGTATAAAAAAGGAAGGGTTTAATAAAAATGTGGATAATTCCATTAAGGAAAACTTCTAACATGAAAATATTAATAAATTTAAAAACACATTAAAGTTTAAAAAATAAATTTTTCCTGGTTCATCAAGTAACATAAAAAGTTCTTTTTTTGCATCTCTCTTAAATTTAAAAATTTTCTGGATAAATAATATTTTCTTTAAAAATATTGGTATCTCAAGTTTAATTAATTTTTAATTATTTAATCAATATATATATATATATATATATATATATATATATATATATATGAAGACAAAGAATGTCTATTATGTTTGATCATGAATTTGTTCTAAGCTTCAATATAGTTTATTTAATTTCAGGTGATTTTAAAGGCTAAAAAACAAATTTGGATATTTTTTAAAAAAATTTGATCTAAGCATTCGGCTTACATTAGCCAACTTTCTTTGGTTATGTGAAGACATTTAAACAAAAATATTCACCATAAAAGATGATATTCTATTATGTTGACATAGAAAAAAATATTGACAATAACGGTTACGGAATAGCAGACGCATGTGATGAATTCTATGACGTCTTATCACGTGAGAGACCTAAAAATTAACAAAAAAAAAACATGTCTAGATGCAATGTAACATGTTTTAACTAGTTTGAAACATAATTTTGTTGTGTGTATATATGAAGAAAAATATACGGAAAAACAAACAAAAATCCTAATATTGAATTATGCTGTTTTAATGTTAATATAATGTCAACGTCGGACGTTTCGGTCTAGTAGACCATCTTCAGGACATATACATAAAACATAATTAACATTAGACTATATTTAGTTCAACATGAAAAGACGATGTTGAATTAAATATAGGATATAGGTTCAATTCCTGTCGGAGGACGAATATTTTCTGTGAATATTTTATCGGACATTCAGGCCGGTAAATGAAAAAAATGCTGTTTATTATAAACAGAGCATTTACTTAAATTTAAATATCTAAAAAAGAGCTGTATATGTTTATAAAAATATCTTAAAATAATTGTATCTTAATAAAATTATATATATATTATATATATATATATATATATATATATATATATATATATATATATATATATATTAATATGTACTTAAAAAAATATTTTGAAACCAAATTTATCCTTTTATCGCATTTTCATTATTCCAGACATGCGTTGTTATTTATTTTTGATTTTTTATATTTAATTTCACATATTTTTTTTTTTTGAACTGCTAACAATTTCGGTATTTTGCACTTGTTCTATCCTGGCAGGTATACTCAGTTGAAATAACATCATTTGTGAAATCTACGTGTCTAAGAGATACTTGGACGTGATTTTTATGGTAAAATTTTTTTAAAATGCATTGTTAACAATAAACATGATGTTGACGAAAAGCTGAGATTTTAGGAAGAACGAAATTTCGAAATCATTAGGAACGAAAGTTTAATTGAAAATAAGAAGTTGATAAAAAAAAAAATTCTTTTAAAGTGTAATGGAAAAATAAATAACTAAATAATGCAATGCTTGGTGAGAAAGAAAGGAAGAAAGAAAAAACAAACAAACAAACAAAGAAGAAAAGAAGAAAGAAAAAGAAAAAAGGAAAAAAGGAAATTTTTAAGAAAAAGAAGAAAAAGAAAGAAAAAAAAAAATTTTTTTTAAAAAAGAAAAAAAAAATAAAAAAAAAGAAATAAAAAAAAATAAAAAAAATAAAAGAAAAAAGAAAGAAAAAAAAACAGAAAAAAGAAAAAAAAAGAAAAAGAAAGCAAAAAAAAAAAAAAAAAAAAAAGAACAAATAAAAAAATTTTTTTTGTGCAAAAAAAAGAAAAAAAAGAAAGAAAATCTTTTCTTTTAAATAATGAAAGAAACAAAAAGAAAGAAAAAAAAGAAAGAAAATGAAAGAAAAGAAACAAAGAAATAAATTTATATAAAAAAAAAAGAAAAAAAAAAAAAAAAAAAAAAAAAAGAAAGAAGAAAAAGAAAAAAACAACGAAAATGAAAAAGAAAAAAAAAAGAAAAAGAAAGAAAAAAAAGAAAAAAAATTAAAAAAAAGAAAGAAAAGAAAAAAAATTAAATAAAAATAAAGAAGAAAGAAAAAAGAAAAAAAAAAAAAAAAAAAAAAAATAATTAAAAGAAAAAAAAGAAAAAAAAAAAAAAAAAAAGGTTTAAAAGAAAAGAAAAAAGAAAGAAAAAATTTTTTTTGTCCTGTTAAAAGAAAAATATAAAAGAAAGAAAAGAAATGAAGAAAAAAGAAGAAAAAATCATTAAAAAAAAAAAAAAAAGAAAGAAATAAAAAAAAAAACATAAAAAATTTAAGAAAAAATGAAATTTAAATAAAAGAATTTAAAAAAAAAAAGGGAAAGAAAAATAAATAAGATTTATGAAAATCAAATTTATATATATAAATATATATGATGATAAATTAAAGGAGGATTTGATAATTATATTTAAGTAATTCATCGAGTCTGATAGAAATCTCAACAGAATGCAGAAAGCATATGGATTCATTTTAACGTTTTTAGATTTGGGACTCATCAGCATTTGCGCATCCAGTTTTACCGAGAATTGAAACCGGACAAAGTTATGTAGAAAAAATATACTAAATATAATATATATATATATATATATATATATATATATATATACTAGAGCAAAATGGCGTTGCCCGTGCTTGATTCAAAAAATTGTACGACTCATACAGCAATCGCTATCAGTAATTTTTTAAAATATTTTTTGCCCTTCCTTGCCTTTTAAAGGAGTGCCTTTTTCCGTGCTGATGTTGCTACATGCCTTAGTTCTTATTTATCTGACACTGCGAATTTTTTTCTAAGCTCTATACTAAACATTAAATCTGTTACGAAAAAAAGATATAAACAAAATAAACACAAAACGATCAGCTTTAAAAAATATATACTCATAACTGGAAAAACCGAATGAAAAAAGAATGTTAACAACAAAACTTTTTCACACCCAACCCAGTTCTCGGAATCAGAATCAATGTTGAGTTTAAGCAAGCGAATGAGCCAATTGGAGTAAAGTGCCATGCAGATTTAAATTTTTCTCACTTGCGCGCGCAAAAAAAGAATATTCGGACAATTTTATATATTTTATCATCTAAAATGAAAAAAATTATTAGAACACATGAGAAATTGTATAAAAAGCTAAATCAAAGCACATTGTCTGTCGATTTCAATGATATATATATATTGAATAACATATGTTTTTTTTCCTTTCTCAATAATTTTGTAGTTTTTAAACTTAATAGTGATTAAATTTGGATTTTAAAATTGCCAGTTTTTAATTTTAATATTAAATTTTATCATATAATTTTATAATTATTGGTTAGTATAAATTATTTTTAATATTACACGTATTTTAAAGATCTGAATAGCTATTATAACATGATTTCGTTGTCAAGCTTTTGAATCTTTCTATACTTGGTTTTTGATTGGTTATTCTAGCTTTTGTAACAATGTTTCCCCCTAGTGTAGGATCGTTAATTAATCTGAAACTTTTAAAACCATTTATTTTATTTTCAACATCATCACTTGATAAGACACAGAGTGTGTTGAAACAAAATGGCTATTTTTGTAGTGATTTTATAACATACTTATGTTATAATTTTTTATAAAAATAATTATATATATATATATATATATATATATATATATATATATATATATATATATATATATATATAAGGGGATTTTTTAAGCATAAGGTAATTCATCGAGTCTCTAGAAGAATATTCAACAGAATGGAGAAAGCACTAAACGACCCTTTTTCCTATTTTTTTAGAGAAATTTTAAAATCATCATTCATTACCGAGAATCGAACCATAGACCGTTACGATATAAGTTAATATATACCTCTCTGTCTCCGAGATATATTGATCCAGTGGGTATGACGTGTGTCGTAACAGTATATTCGTTCGATTTTAAAATTTTTTTAAGCAACAATGACAATGATGATGTTTAGATACAAAATATATATATATATATATATATATATATATATATATATATATATATATATATATATATATATATATATATATATATATATATATATATATATAGGAAAAGAGTCAATAGAAGAATTACAATAATAACGATAAGCCAAGTCTTTCAACCTTGACTTCAATGTAATATTATGATCCGATGAACAATATTTTGTCTATACCGGCAAAAGAATTTTAAAAGTCTCTTAATCTGTTGGGGATATTTTATTTTAACTGTATAAAATAATTTATTTTACGATTATTTAAATCCCTCGTTACAAATATATACACTTGTTTGTTTTTTACAAGTGTGTTTTAAATTTTTGCTCTTCATTGTCGTTAATATTCTTTTCGTTGACCAACGATTGTCTCGTGATGAGATGTTGGTTGAAAGGGCCTTAGGGACTTTTACAATTCAAAATCAATGATTCATTCCTTGTTTTAAAAAATATATATTCAAATATATATATATATATATATATATATATATATATATATATATATATATATATATATATATATATATATATATATATATATATTATATATATTTTCTTATTACCAATGGGAGAAGTAAAAAACAAGAACAAATCTATTTCCATACCTGAGGATGTCTGTAGGAACAGACGAAATGCTTTTTAAAAACTAAAAAGACCTTATGCAACTGGAATTTATAAACAGGGATCATATCATTCATATACAGGTTCGGGGTTAATGTACTCTTATTGAAATTGTTTGCGAAGATGTATTCTCGCCATTTAAATCATTAACCTCTATATTTGTTTTTGTATGAATGATTCATGTAATTATATATATATATATATATATATATATATATATATATATATATATATATATATATATATATATATATATATATATATATATATATATATTTTTATCTTGAATATGTATCATTTCAGTTATAGATCAAATTTTTGTTTGTTTAAATAAATTAAATCTCTTACGTTCTATTGTCGAATAAACTTTTTATCCGGCTGAAACCTCTGAAACAAAGGCTTTACTATGCTGATACATACTTTTAATTGCTTTTTTTCTTGTCCATGACCAGGGGGTCTTATCTTTCTGCTTAGGATCTCCTTTATCAAATAGTTATTACCAAACAATAAATTAAAAAAAAAATTATATACCAAAGATGGTATTTTTTTCGAAAAAAAGAATGGTTTGCGAAAAATACATCAATGATAAATCTGCTTTACAAATTGATTTCTTACAAAGAATACATATTCTATTTATATGAAATTTATTCCAGAATGTTTGTCTCAAGGTCATTGAATAAATCCAAAGACGGATATAAAAATGTAAAAGAAAATAAACCTAAACATCTCATATTGTTTCATTATTCACCGAATAACGAAATCTAGTCGGAACAATATTTTTTTTAAACACTGTTCGGTGCTTTTATGAAAAATTAGAAATGGTTACAGACATTTGAATTTATCGTTATGCTCAAGGATATTTTTCGAATAATTTCACTGTCGAAAGATTGAAAACGTGATCAACTGTTTGTATAAGCGACACCAACCATTTCATTGAGACTTTGGTGCATATTTACCAAAGAAATCTCGAATAAGTTTCAAATACAGTTAACCCAATTATTCAAATGCAAATGTCAACAGCACACTGAAAGATGCCACTAACATTTATCAACTTCCGAAAGACGTTTCATCCTTTGAAAATACTTAAAGTTTATGTCCATAGGAGAAAAACGTTTGTAACCCTTTTTCGTAAGCTAATCTCAAAACCATTAGTATAACTACTTATTGATTAAAAAACAATATAAATATATATATATATATATATATAAAAATGTAACCAAATATAAATAAATTTATATATATACGATAAATATTATGTATTATATCTACTGTAACCATAAAACTGGTTTTAGATGAAACATTATCAATATACTTTCAGATTTCATTTGAACTATTGTTCACCTCTATATTAATATAAAAAACAGTTATTATAGATACTGTTTTTAAATAGCAATCTTCAGGAATCATTTTTTCGTATATATTTTCTTTCAATCACCGTATTATTTTTAACCTGTGATGCTGTAACTTGTTCGTTTATGTTGAACCAAAAAATAATCATTTTTTATCTGATTAAAAAATGAAACTACTTAATGATAGTAACATTTTTAATTTAAACAACGCTTATATTCACCAAACCATCACGGTTTCGAAATATAAATATAAATAATGTCAGATGTTTCGAAATTTAAAACTTTTTACCTCTTATTTGATAATTTTTGCTTTTGATTTTTCTTAATGAGAAATTGCCAATATAATTTGACTTTTTTGAGTTATTCAAAAAATTATTTTTTGTCCTAATTATAAATATTTAATATAACATTTCGACCAATTACAATCATGACCATCTTCATTACAGTGTGTTAAAAAAGTTATCACATAACCTAACTTTTAGTAAATTCATGCCCAAAATTAGTAAACAAAGCGGACGTTTTTTCGAAACGGTTGATGGTGTGTCTTTAATTGGAAGTCTTAATGGGATACTTTGAATTAGAAAAGGGCATCATTTCTCAGATGCATAATATTTATGGGACGCGTTTATTGATGACACAATATCAAAGGCAAAATGACATGGAAGACATCGGCTACCTGAAATTAACGAATTTTTGTCCCTGGGTTTGAGTTGTCGAGGGTTGTGATAAAAATCATTACTTTTGTTTGTAAGGGATGAATAGGTTGCCAGCAATGAGATCCATTAACGAAAACAACAAACAAAAAAGAACCTGATATTGTTCAAGTGTAGCCAGTTAAAACCTTTATATATCGTTATATATAAAAAATATATAATATATATAGTATTTTCATTATATATATCAAACATTATAAATAATTCAGCTATGTCTCTTCAGGACGTAGGTGATCTATAAATATACAATTCCTTTCTTTTTATTATCTATGAAATGCCATGACTTCTTGAAAATATAAAAATATGGCTTATCGTTACTTTAAACGGTTTTGAATTCAGAGTCGTCCTTCCACACTGATACTCATCTATATATATATAGACCATCTACCCTATTATCTACAGATGGAAATATTTTAAAAGTACAAAATGGACGCAACAGACCAGAATTTGAACTCGGCTATCATAATTCCACTTAATATGATATATATATATATATATATATATATATGCCGAATAACTTTATTCACAAAGATTAAATAATTTATGAATTTTATACATTTATGATATATATATATATATAAATATTTATGAATTTTATTATTTTTGACAAATACCAACAGTAA